TAAGACAAGGTCTTTCTGAGTTGCCCAGGCTGGCCTCAAACTTGCAATCCTCCTGCCTCAGCCTTTTGAGTAGCTGAGAGCACAAACATTTGCCATTGTGCCCAGCTGAGTTGTGATGATTTTTGTGCATTGCAGTCCGAGTGCTTCGTCAAGTGTGTTTGGAAGTTTTCTCTCTCGGTCTCTGGTTCTGTTTTTCATCCAACAGGTACCGAGGAGCACACAGTTCTTACTACATGAAGGTCTTGTGGCAGCTCTTGGCTTCTTTGACTCATTGTCTTTTGGTCCTTGCTATGAAATCTTGGGCCAAAGTCATGAAGACTCTGTCCCGTGTCCTTTTCCTGATGTTTTAGAGATTTGATTGCAACACACACCTGTGATCTAAGTTGGTTTTCATGTGAGGGAAAGGTGTAAGGTGTTGTGCAAGGTTGGTGTAAGGTGTACTTTCAGCATGTGGTTGTCCAGTTTTTCATTTGCCAACATAAGTCATGTCTTTTATGCATTGAATCACTGGCCACGCAGCAAACTGTGCACCTGTTTGTGTCTGTGTTCCACATCTGCACATTCAACCGTGGGTTGGAAATATTCAGAAAAGAAAAATCCATTTATACTGCGCACATACAGACTTTCTCTTGGAATCGTTCCCCAAACAGTTATGCATAATGTCTGTTTATACAGCGTTTCCATCGTGTTAGGTGTCGAAAGTCATCTGGAAATCAAGAACCCAAGCAGCTATGCCATTCACCTACCCTGCCAGTTGGGTAAAGGCCTGGGGTGTCAGTGAGTTTCCCATCTGCGGGTTGCTGAGAGCCAGTTCCCTGGATCTGAGGGACATCTGCATCCATAAAATCAAAGGGGATTTCTTAGATGGTGTAAAAAAATTTCCGTAACTGCAAATGAGGAAACTTGATTTTAAGTTGGACAACAAAGCATGGTACTTAAGTCTTAACCCTTTACAAAGTAAGAAGCTGCAATTTGAGATGAAGCACGCCTATGAGCACTGTTCTTGAGCTTTCCATCATCTGGGCTGACGGGTAGAGGCCTGGCTGGGCTGCACCCCAGAGGGTGAGCTCTGCCTGTGAAGGCCACGTCCAGAGCCCCCCCGCCCAGATGGAGGCCTCCTGGACGCTCACCCTTGCCCGGAGGTCTGGCTCCCCCTGGAGGTGCCTGTGCACAGTGGTCAGGGAGGCCAGGAGCCCACAGACCACAGATCGCCTGCCTCAGTCCTGCGTGGCCCCCAGGCTCCCACATGTGTCCTTGTCCCCTCCCTGCAAGACAGTCAAGGGGCTCCCCTCCCAGGCCCAGGAGTCTCCCCGTGACTTTGCATGTCCTTCCTGGGCCATGATCGCTTTCCACCCCATGTCACCACTCGCTTTGCGCCGTCTGGTTATCGTTGGAAAGGGTTACTTACTTCAGTGCTTCTTGCAAGTGCCACTGTGCCTCACTTGAGTGAAGAGACCTTCACTCCAGGCCACCGCTTGTAGTGCTTAGCCCGAGATGCTGGCCGTCCACACCTTCCGTCCATTGGCTTAGCGCATGAAGTGTCCTGTGCATGGCCGTGGACAGTGGAGTGTGGTCCTGTCTTGCTGGCCCACGCATGTTAGGAGGCGGCCCTGGGGGAGCTGCTCCCATGTCACCCCTTCCCCGTGGGGGTGGGGCCCTGCCGTCACCTCTGCTTCGGTCCAGAGGGTGCCGTCCTCGCCCGCCCTGGACATGGTGGGTATGGCACTTCCTTTCGGGACCCTGTGTTTGCACCGCACAGCTCTGCCAAGCCCTGCTGTGGGCACAGCCCTGGGAGTGTGGGGAAGCTGGGGCGTGCCCTCCCCAGGGGAAGATGAGCCTCCTGAGAGCAGGCAGGGCTGCAGGGACAGAGGAGGCCTCAGCAGGCCCGGCTGTGCAGGTCAGGGCTGGACAGGTGGGGTGCCATGGTGGGGTGCCAGGAGAGACCAGGGTGTCCTAGGGCTCACGGGCCCCACGGAGACCAGGGTGTCGAGGCCGGCCTCACCCGTGCTCATGATCCCCAGACTGCTCGGGTGGGCTGCGTGCTGCATACTCTCGGATGGAGGATGACACTGAGGCTCGGGGCTATCCTCGGTGTGGGGGAAGAGCCCCGGACCTTGACTTCAGCGTGGCCGTCCAAACTCAGAGCAGCTGGCTGTGGGTGCTGGCCCTGCCCTGGGAACAGTGTGCAGCCAGGGACGTGCTTTGCCTTTCCCTGACCCCTCCCTTCTGTTCTTTCATTTATTCATTAACCATGCACTGGGGCCACGGTGGTCTCCTAATGCCCTCCCGCCCTGTATCCCTGGGGTGTACTCATTCCTCTTTCCCTTGGCCCAATCTCACTCCACAGGGCCAGTTTCTCCCTCACTCTTCACTTTTACTTTTCAAATAAACTCTGTCACTGTTTTAAAAAATGAACCAAGGGCGTGATCCAGGCACTTGGAGTCACAGTGACCCCTGCCCTGCCCTGGAGAAACATGATGCAATACTGGCAGCTGCTCTGGGGAGAGACAGGCATCGGAGGGGAGCTGGTGTGGCGTGACCCACGGTGAGAGCAGGGCGGGTCAGGCAGTGCTGCGGGCTCCCTGCGCACGCGTGTGTGCACGTGTGTGTGCATGCGTGTGCAAGAGTTTGAACCCTGCATGGCCTTGTGTGAATGTGTACTTGTGCACGCTTGTGTGAACATAAACATGATTGTGTGTGTATGCCTGTGTGTGTATGCATGCGCAGTGTGTTATGCACTCAAGTGTATGTGTGTGATGGTTCCAGACAGAGGGAACCTGTTTTACAGGCATGCCAGTGCATTTTTGGAGCCCAGCCTGTTTCTCGGGAGGGACAAGCATCTGGTGTAGGAGCAGCTGTGAGGACGGTGAGTCAGGGCCGACCGAAGTCAGCTGACTGCCTCAGTGTGCTCTTTATTCCAGAGCCTTCTTTCCGGAGAGGGCTGAGCTGGGAACATGGTCGCTGAGGCTGCCCTGGTCCTTGCCCAGGACTCACCTGGGGCGGTCAGTGGGGACTCAGCACTCTCGACGCTGCAGAAGGTGTTTGTGTGCAGGAAGTGGCCCTGTGGTGTGCATGGTGGATGGGGCTGCTAGTAGAATCGATCCATTAGGGCTTAGAACAGGCCTCAGGGAATACAAAAAACTCCTTGTGCTCATCACTCAGTTTATTTGTGTTTTGGTTTTTTCTTTTTTGTACTGGGAATCGAACTCAGAACCTTGCCCTTGCGAGGCAGGCGGTGGAACCACTGAGCTATATCTCTGGCCCCATGTTTTGGTTTTTTGAGACAGGGTCTCCCTAATAGTTCAGGTTGGTCTTGAATTCCCTACATAGCCCAGGCTGGCCTCAAACTTGCAGCAATCCTTCCTCCTCCCTAGTGCTGGGATTACAGGCGTTCACTACCACACCCTGTGCTGTATTAGTTTTTGCATGACAATGATAAAAGTGCATCCCGTGGTGGTCCTACGTAATAATGAACTCTGTCTGTACATGGATTGATTGCCTTCAACTTCTGGTTCTTCTTTTGGAATTTTCTTCCTGAAATCACTGCTCGTAAACTCCTCCTTCTAAACGCCAGCTGTGCCTGGTAGGCCCTGAGCAGACAGAAGGATTGGCATTTATGCCTGCACCTGAGGGAAGTCCTCAGAGCCTGCCTGTGAGGGATGCTTCCCTCCAAGCCTGGGTGCGTCTGTCTCCTCCCCAAGAACCTTGGGAGCAAGCCTGAGCTCAAGCAGATGCCCATGGGGGACTTTCTCCTTGATCCTCATCTAAAGGACAAGGGATTCCCCAGAGCCCAGCTGTGCTAGTCCACTCAGTTGCTGAGTGCCCTACCAGATTACTCTAGGACCTGCCAGACACCACAGCAGCTGTGCAGTTCACAGCTACCACAGGGCACGAGGCTCTGGTCTCTCTGCAGCTTGCCAGCACTGTTGATTTGTTGGTTTCTTGGTGGTAGCCATCCTTATGGATGTGAAATCAGATCTCATTGTGGTTTTGATTTGCATTTCCCTGGTAACTAGTGATGTTGGGCATCTTTTCGTGTGCTTCTTGGCCGTTTGCATATCTTTGGATAAACGTCTGTAACCAGATCTATTGCCTATTTGTATCTTGTCTTTTTTGGGGGGTACCAGAGATCGAACTCAGGACCTTGCACTTTCGAGGCAGGCAGTCTAATCACTGAGCTAAATCCTCGGCCTCTTATCTTGTCTTTTTATTATTAAGCTGTATGAGGATAAGGTCTGGACAGGATCTCTTATCAGATATATGACTTGCAAATATTTTCTCGCATTCTATAGGTTGTCTTCTCACTTTCTCGAGAGTGTTTTTAACAGCACTGAAGGTTTTAATTATGGTTAAATCCAGTTTTTCTGTTTTGTTTTTTGTGCTCTGGTATTGTATCTAAGCATCTACTGCCAAATTTAAGGTCATATATATGTCTTCCTGAAGGTTTTATAGTTTTAGCTCTGATGTTCAGATAAGTCACTGATACACATTAGGTATTTCTTCCTTGAAAGGTAGAAGTCCAGCCAGATGTGGTGGTGCGTGCCTGCAATCCCAGCACTCTGAGGCAGGAGGATTTCAAGTTCAAGCCAAGCCTGAGAATTCAGTGATTTAGTGAGATCCTGTAAAAAAAACCAAAAACAAACAAACAAACAAAAAATCCCACAGAAACAAAAACAATACAGAAGGAAAAAGAAAAAGGTGGAAATCCTGCAGTCTCAGGAGCCTCAGCCTGGAGTGGCACCTGGGACTTTGTCATCAGCCCCTCCACCTTGTTCTGAGGCCTGGGACTGTTCTGCCTGTGGCGGGTTGGGGCAGGACAAGACGCTGTGCTGCTCTGGACAGTACCCTGGCCTGCCAGGCTAGACTGGTGCCAGGCTGCTGCTCTACAGACAGCTGCAGGGCTGCTAGGAAGCTGTTGCCTTCCCGCTGAATCGCTGCACTTCCCTTGTGGAGTCCTGAATGACCTTAGTGTTCTCTCCTGTGTGTCTCCCGCACCCCAGATGCAGACCTGAGCGTCATGGAGGCCAGCAGCTCGGACAGCCGAGGCGAGAGGGCCGAGCTCTATGCACACATCGATGAGGGTCTGCTGGGAGGAGAAGCCAGCTTCTTGGGCCCGCCGCTCACCCCGGAGAAGGATGAGGCCCTGCACCAGGCCACCGCGGTGGCCAGCCTGCGGGCAGCTCTCATGAGTAAGAACAGCCTGCTGTCTCTCAAGGCCGACATGCTCGGAGACGACGGCTCCCTGCTGTTCGAGTACCTGCCCAAAGGCACCCACTCGTTGTCCTGTAAGTGCAGTCCCTGTGTGGCCCTGTGCCCTGATTTCCATCATCGGGTCTCCAGCCTCAGACCCAGATAGGCATGAGGAGGAGGGTGTCGCCCATCTGCCAGGTGCAGGCTGTGGGGAGCAGCTGCCTTCCGGGCCCCTCAAGGGCCTCTGGGAAGTTAGCAGGGTGCACTCAGCCAGGGTTTCACCTGGCTCACCTTGAAGGTAGGGAGCCGGCGCAGGAGAGTGTAGTCAGGCGTGGGAGGGAGCAGTGGGTGGTTGTGGGACTGTTTCATACTCAAATTCAAGGCATCTGAACCTAAAACCCACTGAGCTGAGAAGTGCACACAAGTAATAAATAGACCTGAAACCTCGAGCCAGTCTGAGGCAGTGACTGGCTGTGCAGGAGACAGGATCTTTGTGTGGAGGGGTGGTCTCGGCTCCCCCTGCTGGCCACTCGGTCTGGGCTTTGTGCTGAGACACTGAGGGGGGAAGTGCTCATATACTCAACGTCGGAATGCCCAGGGTTGCTTTGTTCTGCTGGTCACACATGAGCTTTTAAAAGGCAGTTGGGTGCTGCCTTCAGAGCCTGCATGTCCCCAGCCCAGATCCAGATGACAGAGCCACTGGGTCTCTAAACAGGCATTGGCTCTTGGCTACCAGGGACAGTTGCTTCCCTGGCGACAGGGCCACTGGGACACCGGCCCGGGCCTGTGCAGTGCAGGGAGTGGCCTGACCTGAGGCCGGACCTGACCCTGGCGTTGGCATTCACCCTTCAGCTGGGGCTCAGTGTGGGCTTGTGGGTGAGCCCCATGTTTCCCTCTGGGGAGCCCCCACACTGGGCGCTGAGTTGAGGTGAGAGGTGCCCAGGGGGCTGGGACCCCTGATGTGGCCACTGGTGTCCACTCGTCCTTCACCGCCAGTCATCTGAAGTTGGGGCTTTGGGACATGTGTCTTTGTTTTAGTTTTCATTCTGTTTTAAAAGACAATACTTTTACAATTTTGTTTTTATGAGCTCTAAATATTCTTTTGAGATTTTCTAGTGGTGTGAGGAGTTATGCAAATTGCTTATGGGTAATAAAGACTAAAAGTGAAAACCAGTGTTTACATTCTCTTTATTTCCCTGTGTTTGGTTAAGGGCCACTGCCCGTGGACAGGACACAGCCGGCAGACCTGGGCGGGCAGAGTGTTTCACAGGCTGTGGGCACCGATGCTGGGCATGATTGAAGAACATCTTCAGGCCTCATTTCCCGCATCTGAGAAACGGGGAGAGTGCCACATGCACAGCTGTTACGAATTTAAAACAAAACAGCATTTGTGGAATGTTGTTCAGTTCAGGCAAAGTACATGTGACAGACGCTTCGGAATGTCGCCCCCATGCTGAGCTGTACTTGCAGGTAGTGATCCAAGCTCCCGGGGTCCTGGGCAGTTTGTGGAAGTGGTTCCAGGGTATTTGGGGTGCTTGGAATTCACAGAGCAGGGAGTTCTGGGAGTGGCTGAGCTCCATGGGTCCTGTGGAAGGTGGCAGGGGTTCCCCAGCACTCAGGCCTGTGCCCCCTGCCGCCAGCTGCAGGCCTGGGCTGTTTTCAGCCTCGACATGTGTGGCTCCTGACTCCTTCAGGGTGGGGACCATTAGCAACTCATTCTTGACTTAGTTCTTATCGGGAATGGTTTAGGAATGAGGGAAATTATTTCTTTGTGCTTTTCCTGTAGTTTCTGGACCTGGCAGCCCTCACCTTGGACACAGGTGCTGTCCACAGCCCTTTGATGCATCTGTGTTGGGCACAGCGTGGTAGATGGGTCAGAGCTACAGATGCTGGCTCCTCCCTGTGCGGCCAGGTGGGGACCTGCAGTGCAGTGTGGGCTGCACATCGCTGCCCTATGCGTCTGGGTGCTGGTCTCCCCGGTGCCAGACCCTGCCTCCTAGGGCTCCTTGCTGCAGGCAGTGCTCAGGCCGGGTTGTAATCTGGATCTGACTCCTCTGACGGGGCCTTGCTTGGCGCCTTCTTTTCAGCCTCTGCCTGTGCCAGTGTGCTGCTGTGTGTGATTTACCATGGCTTGAGGTCGTGCTGGGCAGCAAACCCAGCTGTCCTGGTGTGTGCAGGGCCTGGGCACACGTCACAGGCCTCTGCATTCCTGAGAGGGAGCCATGGGCTGGGAAATAAAGGCCATCTGTGAGTAATTCCAGGTGAAATCAGCTAGTGGGTTTTGGTAACTTGTTATTTCTATAATTTTTTTTTTTTTTTTTTGTGGTGCCAGGGATTGAACTCAGGACCTTGCACTTGCAAGGCAGGCGAGGTGCCACTGAGCTAAATCCCTGGCCCCCATTTCTGTAGTGTTTTAACCTCTCGATTTTTTTTGGTACCAGGGATCAAACTCGGATCCTTGCACTTTCGAGGCAGGGGGTGGAACCACTGAGCTAAATCCCGGCCCAAGAATTTGCCCTTTTCATAAGTAGGGTTAGCACTTGGCAGAGTCCTCCCCTGGCCAGGCTTGGACAGGGTGACTTTGGCCATGTGTGGACAGCAAACCTGCCTGGTGGGCAGAGAGGCTGTGGAACTCCCCAGGGAGTGGGTTACTTTAAAACATGATTTTCTTTTCTTTTTTCTTTTTTCTTTTTTTTTTTTGAGACAGGGTCTAACTATGTAGGTCAGGCTGACCTTGAACTCATTGTGTAGCCCAGATTGGCCTTGAGCTGGTGGTGATCCTCCTGCCTCAGCTTCCCAAGTGCTGGGATTACAGGCCTGTGCCACCACGCCCAGCCAAAAACATGATTTTCTGACATCCTGAGTGACATCAGCCTGTTTCTGAAATGAAGACAGGAAAAATCCGGAAAGAAGCCCCTGCCTTCCAGGATTCTGTGGGCCACCTCCATGCTGCAAGTGTCCTCCCTACGGGTTGGTGGTGCCCATGCTGGATGGCAGCACTGGGTGGCAGAGGAGCTGCAGCCAGGGTGAGGGGTCATCCTGATGAGTGGGTGGTGGAGGTGCCCGGGCGTCACAGACCACAGCAGCAGGCGGCCCTGGAGCAGGAGTCTGTCGAGTCTGCATGAGAAGCAGCGTCAGGCCCGCCAGAGCATGGCCCGGTCCATCTCCTGCTCCTCCTCCTGGAAGCGCCCGTTGGCAGGAGGGTGTGTTTGCTCCTTAGCTGCCCAGAGGCTCGGACTGGGCTGTGGTGTGTGGGGGGCAGCTCAGCAGGGTGGCGCTCAGGGTTTGCAGACCCTCCTGTGCACCCCACACTGGCTCAGCCCCTCGCCACATGAGTTCTGGAAGTGCACTGCAGCCACAGGTGCCTGGGCAGGGCGTCGGGTGCTGCCTCCTCCTCCGGAGCAGCTGGGCTGTGCAGCTGGGGGCTAAGTGGGTTTGGAGAAAGGAAGACTCTGCGCGCCTGGTGGGCAGCATGGCCAGTTTCCTTGTGCCCTTCAGCTCGGGTGAAGATGAGATCCCTGCGTCCTGGCTGCTGGGCCCAGGCTTGGATTTTCGTTGGGACTTGTGACTCCTCGTGCGGGCTGCTCCTGAGGAGCTGGGTCTGAGGCAGAGACTTTGGTTGGCGCAGGAGAGCACACAGCCCAGCAGGTGACGTCACTGGAGAAGGGGCCCCTTGCCACAGGGCTCACAGCTGCTCTGTGGTGCAGGACCCTCAGCCCAGGGACCCAGCTGAGGCCTGATTCTCCTTGGCCACTCGTGTACCGTGTTGGTATGTGTGGTCTGGGGCTGGCAGGCAGTGTGCAAACAGTGTAGCGTAGCTGGTCCTGGTCCTCAGATGTCCTTTCCGGATGGCTCTGGAGCAGTCTAGAAAAGTGGAATTAATTTCTTTGTTTTCATAGGACTAATATTGGCTTGGCTATGAGTTCAGCAAATGGTGGTTTCATCACTGGCTCATCAGTCTTCTGATTGCTCCATCAGAAGGCTTTTTTCCTTCTTTTGACTCAGTTTAACTTGGTTCTCTTTTACTTTGGTTAATTTGTTTGTAGTCATTGTTCACTGAATAGAAACCATGAAGAGTCATTCACAACTTGGAACATGGCTCTGACACACGGGTGTGTCCGTCCTGGATGTGGACACCTGATGGCCCACCTGTGGGCCCAGAAACGGGAACAGAGCAGATGGAAGACAGCCCAACCGACGCAGGTACAGGAGGCCATGTTACCTTGAGACTGAGGCACATCACACCGTGTGCGGTGACCCGAAGTGCCCCATGTCACCCTAGCACGCGCTTTCTTGGCCGGAAACCCCCTCCCCCACCTGCTGCAGGGCAGCCCCACCCATCGGACGCACTGGAGCCTCCGGCTGCCTGCTTGGATGCTTCCTCCTCCTCACTGGCCATAAGTGAGGCCTGAACATCCTGGAGCATTTGGTGGAGAATGTCTGTAGCTTTTTTCTCTTTTGGCTTACAGAATATTTGCTTATTGTTTGGTTTTTTTGGTACTGGAGATGGAACTCAGGACCTTGCACTTTCGAGGCAGGTGGCAGAACCACTTGAGCTAAATCCCAGGCCTGCTTATTGTTTTCATACGAGGAATCGAGGGCCTTTACTTGCTCCTAGGTTGCTTCTGGAATTCCTACCAAGGGCATTTGGTGCAGTATTACTGGACTCAGGCTGATGGATCTTAAAGAACTTGTCAGAAGATTGGCTCTCAAGGACACAGGTCGCCAGCCTCTGCAGAAATCACTGTGCTCCCACAGAAAGAGCCCACCACAGACCAGGCTGGTGCGAAGGCCCCTGCTGGCTGGCATCAGCCAGCCAGAGTCCAGAGTGCAACTTCCAACAAGATCTTGCATTCTCCCCACCAACTGTCACCTTCTGGGACTCTCTGAAGCCCCGAGGCTTCATTCTTCTCTGTGGTGAGCCCCGCTTCCTGCATGCCCAGGGCCGGAGCCACTCAAGGGGGCCCTGGCCGCAGAGTGAAGGCCTTCCACCCTTCTCCCACTCAGCCACAGGATGGCTCTGGGGCCTCCAGACTGAGCCCGAGGAGACACTGCCTCCAGCCCAGGTAAGACGAGGTGGCCCAGAGCACACTGC